ATTAAACAGCAGGATTAAAGAGAGGCAGCTGGAGATAAAGGTCTGGGACGGAGGTGGGAAGCAAGGGAGAGAGATCAACGCTAGCCAGCAGTGTCCACTCTTTTGGTTTCTGGGAAAGACCCAAACCCGGGGGGCCCTATCTGCAGCCTCATCTTCTCCTTCAATAGCCTCGAGAAGGGGAGCCCGTGGGGCCTGGCGACCCCAGCAGCGACTCCCAGGTCAGGCGCTGGGTGCGAGCCCTGCTCTAGCGCCTTCCCGTCTGCTGTGTCCTGGCAGCGAGACAGGAGAGTCGCTGCGTCCTCGGAGGCCGCTGGGAGGGCTGCTTGCTCGCTGTTCCCCACGGCTGGGAGTTGAAGCCCAAATGCCTGGGCCCCAGCAGGGCTGTGCCCGCGCTGAGCGGGGGGCCAGAGTCCTTGGTCAGTCCAGCTCCCCGTCTCCGCTTGTGGCCACGTCCCGCCCACCTAGGCCTCTCCTCGGCCGCCTTCTCTGGGGCCTCAAGCCTCCTTCACTTTCCTCACAAGCACCTGCCACTGTGTTTAGGGCCCCCTTGGGTATCCTTTTCCCAAATAAAGTCCTGCGAGATTCCTATGGATGTGCCCTTCTTTTCTTCTGGTGGGCTTGGGGGGGCCATTCTACCCCTAGGGGTCAAATGTGGTAAAACTAGGAGTTTACTGTACTAAAACCCCACACACAATAAGATTTTGATGTTAGCAAGACCTTAATTTTGCCTGGCTCACAAGACACTGTGAATCAGTTGCCCAGGCTGATTCAAGACCGTCCCCAGGAAGCCCCCAGAGCACTGGCCTCCCGGGGCCACGTCCTGCAAGGCCTGCCCACCCGAGGTCATAGCTGCCCACCCGCGGGGCTGGTGCCTACACTGCCCGCCCACACCAGGGCTGTCCTGGCCGTGCCAAGCCCAGGGCCTGCACGACAGTGAGCCACCCGCACCCGAGCCTGGCTGTGCCACCCGGGCAGGCCCCTCCTCTGCCTGTGACATGAAGGCAGCAGTGAGTGGGCCCTGCTCGGCGGTGGGGTTGGCAGGAGTTGGCGTGAAGTTTGAGGTCGTTAAGACTCAGCCTGGACGTCACTGCCTTTCTCCACCAACCTGGCTGCTGGTTAGGACGACTTGAGTGAACTTTTTTAAAGGCCCGTGGCCGGCCCCGACCTCCACCCTTGGCTGTTTGAACGGGCCTCACCCCCCAGGTCTGTCTCCCGCCCCGGCCCGTCCGCTCATTCCCGTTCCCCGTCTCCTCCCATGGAAACGGGCCCTGCTGCCCCCAAGAGGGCTCTTTCACCGTGGTCTGCCACACACACCCGGCTGGCATCAGGCGCTTCGTGTTGCCTGCCCCAGGGGTCACGGGAGGGCGCCCTCTGAGAGCACCCATGGCTGCCCCGCTCCCGCTGACCACTCATCCCTGGGGCCCCGGCTGCCTCTGAGCCGTGCGGCCCTGGCAGCCCCCCACCCCCTCAGGACCTGGTGTGCACATCTGTGAGGCGGGCGCAGACCCGCTGCTGGCCGCCGTGACCGCACGCGTGATCCTTTCCACACACCGTATTCCTCGGTGAAGAGCAGCGGCGGCTCCTGGCCCTGCTCCTGTGCCCACGCAGGTGCCTGCCTCTTTCCTTCTCCGTTTCCTAGAGAGCCGGTCCTAAAACACGCACGAAACAAACCCCTCAGCTGTGGCGCCCCGGGGTCCCGCACACGCTCCCTGGGAAGTCGCCCTGGGCGAGACGCTTGGGAGACACCACACGGGTGACCGACTCGCACTGCGCGGCTCGTGCCGAGACGAGAGCTCGGCACACCCCGCGCGGCCGCGGGGCTCCTGCCGTTGCCTGCCCCCACCCTCCGCCGTTTTCCTGCTCTTCCGCTGATTAACAACAGAACTCGTTGCTGTCTGACTTCTCGAGTGCTCTCCTGTTCTGAAATCTATGACATTTGCCTGTGACGGGCATTTGGTCTTCCCCCAAAACAGATTTTCCTATCATTTTTTTTTCTTTATAATTTTGGGGTTTTAAGAAGTCCTTCTCTGGCCCCTACGTCAATTACTTTTTTCTATTAAGCTGAAAGCTTATCTTTCTTTTCATAGTCGTTTTTATTTTTTAAAGATTTGTTTATTTATGCATACAAGAACTGGGGTGTAGGTCGGAGGTGAGAGGGGTGAGAAGATCCGCCAGAGACGAGCGGGGAGCAGAACAGGCGGATCTACCGAAATCCACTGCTGAGGCGAGCAGCGGGGAGACAGCAGAGGCCTGCTGCGTCCTGGGGGTGGCTCCCGTGGATCCCACGCAGGCCACAGTGACTGGCCATAGCTTGACAGCGCTGGAACTTAACCCTTGCGCCGCTAGGGAGGCCCTGTCATGGCTAACCCAGGGAGGAGCACAGCCGGGCAGGGCTGGAGAAGGGGCGATCACACCTACAGCCGCCGCGGGCTGGGCGGCAGCTGACCCGCGAGATGTGGCCAGGGCGATGCAGGGCTGTTTCTCTGTATTTCGTTTCAATTTTCAATTAAAGAACTGCACGTGCCCAGTGGAGACTAGCCTGGGCAGCACAGACTGAGGGTTCCCTTTTGTTGTGATAACACACAGGGATTCGGTTTCATTTTCTCAGTACAGGAACCTATTTCCCCGACACCGTTATTAAACGGCCTATTGCAGGCCGCTGCTCCGCGGCCGCCATCCTCTGCCGAGCTCCTGTGCCCGCTGCGTGGGCCTGAGGCCTCTGCTCTCTGCTGTACCTTCCGAATATCCCGGCACCGCGGCCACTCTGCTTTGAACAGCAGCGGTGGGTGGCTTCACGGCTCTACAGGAGCAGAATTTTTACTAGACTTCAGCACCCATAACAAAGACATTTCCCCCTCGCTGCCAGGTGTGGCCGCCTCACTGAGCCCTGGCCAGTGAGGCAACCCCCAGGCCAGGTGGGCAGGGGGGTGGGGGGGACGGGGCTCGAGCCCCGCGATCTGTGGAGGCGGCAGGTCCCCTCGGGGCACTGGGGGCTGCACGCCAGCAGCCGCGTGGAAGGAGGCTGGGAGGACGGGCTCCCACGTCCCTCGGCCTTTTCTGCGAGGATGGCGGCGGAGGGCAGCTGTAGACTCACCTGGGGCCGGTTAACTGCAGCTGGCCTCCTGCCTGCCGCCCGCCTGGGCTGGGGCCTGAGACTGCATTTCCAGCCGGCGCCAGGACGCCAGGGCTGCTGCAGCCCGACGCAGGGAGCCCGTCCGACCTGTTTCGGTGCAGTCTCTGGAAGCCCTGGCGGTGGCTCAGCACCCAGGCCCCCCACCCACCCTGCCCAGCCGGCCCCAGACTTCCTGCTGCTGCAGAGCCAAGTCACCAGCTGGTGTGTGCGCCCTGGGCGGAGCGCGCCTGTGCCATCTCCCCGGAGCGGCTGCCCTGCCAACACTCGCTCCAGAGCTGCCAGGGAGGCTGGAAGCCTGAAGACCTCCTGGCTGGGCTCCCTGGCCAGCTGCGACCCCGAAGCGCTGCCGGCACTGGCCATCAGGGGCGTCCTGGGGAGGCTGGACGAAGCCTCTGCGTTGGCAGCGCCGGAGGAGCGCCGGTGGCTCCCGCAGGCCCTCGGGGAGGCCGCCTCCTGTCACCCCGTGTCACGTTCCTGTCCTCGGGTCCCTCGCCCTCGCGGCCTCGCAAACCACGCCCTGGATTATGTCTCTGGTTTGAAACAACTGGCGTGGGGTGGGGGGCGGGGGGGCGGGGAAGCCCTTCAGTAAGGGCAGTAGCTGCAGGCGGGGGCACGGCCGCAGAGGCGCCCCCCAAAGTCAGTGATGGCGACTGAACGCAACACCACAGCAGTGCGGTGGGGCAGCTGCCGGCCGGGACCTTCCCTCCTGGCCAGGAGCCGGGGAGCAATTTGTGAGGGCGGCAGCCATGGCCTCCAGCCTGTGGAGCCGTCTGTGGGCGCGGTCAGGCTCGGAGCTGCCCGTGGGTCACTCGGGTCACCCCGGCTTTCCAGTTCTCTTACACCGACGAGCGTATTTATCCGAGACGCCGCTTCAGCCAGGCCTCCAACGCCCTCCGACGCTCGCATGCGGCGGCTGTGCCACCGGCTGGCTCGGGTCTGAATCTCACCCAGATCCCTGGGCCCGCCGCACACCTCCTGCCCGCACACCTGTGGGGCTGCACCACGGACGCCTGGGGGGCTCTGGGGAGGGGTTCCCGCCCTGCCCCCCCACGGTGGCTGCGCGCCCCACCACCTCTCAGGGTGCTGGGGAAGACACGCAGCCTGGGGCCGCTCAGTCTGGGGGGACAGAGCATCTCTGAAGCAGGCTGCTTGGGAACCACCTTCCCTCCTGGCCCTGAAAAGCCCACCAGCCCGGTTTCTCAACAGCGACCCCCAGGGGCAGCTTCCACCCGCTGACTGCACTCACTGTCACTGACACTTGCCAGCTGGTGGTCAGGCCATAGGGGCTCTCGAGGCTGGGATGGGGCGTCTCCCTGCCCACAGTCAGGCCTCCCTCGCTTAGCCCTAGACCTCTGGCCCCTAAATTCTCACCCCCAGGAGGCGGGGACCGGGGCCACTATGCACACCACACGCACAAAACAAAGAGAATGTTTTAATCATAAAACTAACTTGAGGGGGGCGGGGCTGCGCCGAGGGGCAGGAACCTGATTCTTCAAGCGGTGGTTCTGTCCCGTGCAGCCCTGCCAGCAGGGACCATCTGTCCCCCAGGAGCACAGAGGCTTAAGTGTTACAAAATGACAATATAAATAGACTTCTAGAAAAGAGGAGGCTGTCCAGGTGCAGTAGTCATTTTCTGTAGAGGCTGGGGGGTGGGTGGGGGCCCCAATCCCTGTGTCCCCATCCAGCCACAGAAAAGGGGGACAGGCTAAGGGAAAAGGCCACTCTTCAGACATTCATGATTGACCCCCACAATGGCTCAGGGGGAGGGGGCTGTCATTAGGCAAGGTCTGAGTCGCCGCTCGCAAACTGGAGGATGAGGGAGCTGGTCTGTGCAGGCTCTCGCAGGCTCACGCGCGCACGGGCGGGTGTACACTCACGCAACCTCTCGCAGTGTCTCTTGGCCCCGGGGGCCCCATGCGGATTTCCAGTGATGGGAGGGCCGCCTGTTGTTTCTGGAGACAGGGAAACACAGGGGCTGGCCTCTCCAGAGGGTGGGGGTCCCGGGACCCTCACTTGCTCCCATGGGTCCTTGTGTTTTTGGTCACAAGGTCAAGCCTGGAGTTCAGTAGTTGGGCCCGCAGGCCCCCAGGGGGAGGGTGGTGCCACACGGAGTGTGGAGGGGGCGGGCTGGCCTCCTACTGGCCCGTCAGGCAGGGGCGACCCCAGGGGTTCTTTGGTTCGGGGACGGGCGCTGGGCCTCATCTGGTGCGGTTCTGGCGCATGAGGGGCACGATGCTGGCGGGCGGGCCCGCTTTGGCCAGGAACGGGTGCTTTAGCAGCTCGGCTGCCGTGGCCCGCTGCGCTGGGTCCCGCACCAGCAGGCGGTCCAGGAAGCCCTTCAGCGACGGCGACACCTGCGGGGGCGGCGGGTGAGGGTCTGAGGGCCACACCTCCTCCTCTGGGAGGCGGCCTCCACTGCCAGGGCGGAGAGCCTGCTGCCAGCCGGCGTGGGGAGCCGGCCATGGGGACTGGCATCCTGCGCCGGCCTGTAGGGCGCTGCCAGCGCCGGCCCGAGCAGCCCTTTCTCGCCAGGAAACCCCTCCTCTGGGCCCTCTCCTGGGCCCCCGACACCTGAGGCCAGCTGGGAGGGCCATCGGCACCCAGTCCCATCGAGCCCTGCGCTCTGCTGTGCCCCGCACCTGCCTAAGGCTGCGTCGTGTCCCTCCCGCCAGCTGCCCGAGGGGGCTCACCTTGTGCAGGTTCTTCAGTCGGGGTGGCAGGTTGTCCCGAATCATCTTCATGGCTTTGAGAGGGGGCTCATTGAAGTAGGGGGGCTCCCCATCCACCATCTCGATCACCATCACTCCCAGAGACCAGATGTCCACCTGCGGTGGGAGAGGGCGGTCAGGCCGAGCTGCTCGGTGTCCAGGGCTGGGCAAGCCGGGGGCGGCTGGCTCTCGGCTCTGCCTCGGCCTCTTCACCGGTGGCCCTGGGGCCAGAGCAGCCTGTCGCCCACCCTGCCAGCCCCGCCCTCCTCAAGCACAGGCTCTGGACCGTGCTCTGTCGCGACGCAGGGCATTGCCCCCGTGCGGCCAGATCTCCTGGTTTTCCCACAGAGCACGCAGTGGGGGTCTTTGTGCTGGTCTCCATTTTCAGTACGCGTCTTGTGGGAACACCGTCTGCCACACCAGCGGGAGCCTGCCAGTTGGTGATCTCCGACCGGGCCTGGGGATCTATGCTGGGCCTGCTTCTGCCCTGCTCCTGAGCGCTGGCCTGGCTCAGAGCTGACGAGCAGCCGCCTGCACGCTGACTTCCTTGCCCGCAGACGGTCCTTGGCACCCCAAGACCCAAGCTGGGTGTCCAGCACGCAAGTGTCCCTGCCCTCGGGGCTGTCCCCTCCTCACCTCTGGCCCATATGGGAGGCGGGAGATGAGCTCTGGGGCCATCCAGTAAGGCGTGCCAACCAGTGACTTCCTCCGGGGCACCTCCTTGCTCACCTGGGCGCAGAACCCGAAGTCCGACAGCTTCACCTGGGGTAAGGGGCAGGCGGCAGTGTCAGGTACCGGCGCCAGGTGGAGGGAACAAGTCCTTGGCTTGGCTGTGCTGGGTCGTTGCTGTGCGGTCCGGGGCCACATTCAAGCTACCTGGGGCTCCATCACCTCCTGGCCGGGGCCTCAGGCGTGTCACCCCCAGGACCGCACCAAATGCCTTCCTGACAGGGCTGCTCCAGGGAGCCTGGGGCAGGGGCTGAGTTCTGGAGGGACCACTGGAGGGTTAGGCAAGGGCCGGCTCCCTGAAGCCTGGGCCCCGCAGGAAGTGCAGCAGGTGACAGATGTCAGGGCACAGCCCTGCCCTGAGTGTCTGCGGGGGACAGAGCCATCCTGAGTCTCTGAGCAGAACAAGGCCCGTCTGCCCCAGAACCCAGGAGTCGCACCTCGTCAGGACCCCCACTGTGGCCCTTTCGGGTCCTAGCTCTGGACCTGCCCACCGCAGCGCTGTACGGGGAAGTGCAGCCGCCCGTGTGCACACAACTCCACGTGCTCACAGGCGCCCCCACACAGCGGAGTCCTCTGTGAGCGCTCACAAGCCCCCGCTGACTTGCCAAACTTCCCGGGGGCAGAGTGGGTGAACCACCGAGAACGTGGTGAGGCTTCTGAGGTTAAAGGGAGGTGGGGAGGGAGAAAGGGCCCGAGGGGTGGGGGGTGGGGAACATAGATTTCTATCACATAAACATATATTATACAAGTAAAGGCATTTGCTTCATTAATAAAACGAAAAGACGATGGTGACTTGGATTGAGTGATGGCAGTGGAGGCAGCAAAGGAGAATCAGGCTGATTTCAAAGGGGTTTTGGATCCCAGACCTATGGGGCCAGAGGCTGGTGAGGTGGAGAACAGGTCAGGTCAGGGTGGCACACCCCCAGTGACTACTGGGTAGACCGTGCTCCTCCACGGAGGCCAAGACCCGGAAAGACCCGGGTTGGGTGTGAGAACTCATCCTCGCCGGATTCTGAGTACTCACATGCCGGGCCCCACGGAGGGCCACAGAGCCCACTGCAGAGAGCTGGCATTTGGAGGGGGCAGAATTTGGTGAGAGCCAAGGGAACCCCCCCCCATTAAAAATCCTGTCCACATCTGGAGCACAGATGCAGGTTCTGGGCATGCTGAGGCTTCAGTCCGGAAGACGGAGTCCACGGCCCACGCTGGGACCCACTGACTTGGACCCGACTCTGGGCTGCGGCACGGGGAACGGGGTAACCCTAACCAGTGAGCTGGAGGTCGGGGCCCAGCAGCAGAGTGAGGCCGGAGAGGCCCAGTCACCCACTTCTCACCCTGCCGTCGTGGGTCAGCAGGATGGAGTCGCTCTTGATGTCCCGGTGTATGACGCCCTGGGCATGCAGCACAGACAGGGCCTGCAGCACCGCCAGGCACACAGCGGCGATCTGCTCCTCGTTCATCCTGCGGGGGCGCCGGACAGGAGGCCTCGCCAGGGGTTCGGGGGCACAGCCGCCCTGGGGGACACAGGCCACCCTGGGACCCTGGGGGCACAGCCGCCCTGGGGGACACAGGCCACCCTGGGG